GTTCAGCATGTTTTTATCTTTAAAACGAGCTGTCTTGGGCCGGATTTGGAGCAGATTTGAGGCCAAAACGTGGCTGGGCAGATTGGGGGCAGATTCTCCTAATCCAATTTGGACTTTATATCCTAGTATTATTTTATTTTAACCTAGTTTCCTTGTGGGGATTGGGCAGCTGGTTTTTAGGAGGTATTTAAGTTCTATTTCACAGAATTTTTAGTCAACTTCTATTTTGGCTTTTGAACGCGACTTTGCTAGGGTTTTAGAAAAACTTCTACTTCAAGGTGTTTTCGATCTTTATTATTTTGATGAAGAACTTGATTATTTTTATTATGAACATGCGTAACTAACTTTCTTTTGCTAGGGTGAGGCCACGAGCCTTAGCAAGAATATGTAGTTTCTATCCAATTTGCTTATGAATATGCGTGCAGGTTTTCGAATTATTCATCACTGGGTTAAACTATCTAAGTGTCTTGATGCTTGATCACCATTAGGATGTTTAGAAAAGTAATTTGATGCAGTTTTGGTCGGAGGTCGGTCCCTGAAATTGACGAAGGCTTCTTGTGATTAATATGTGCAAGTTCACTTAGGATGAATACCACGTCTTAAGGGTTGCATGGTTTTTCAAAAGGTTTCACAGAACTTAATGAGTCATGTATGTTTAGATTTGATCTGAATACCACAGACGGATTGCATGTGTGATATACGCTCTATGTTGGGGGTCCAAGTAGGCATATATTAGGAATACCTAACCTTCGAAATATGCATGTATAGGTCATAAGTAATTGGGAGAACTATATAGAATTGTTGAGGTGACGGCGGATCCCTAGTGCTTTCTTAATTTGATTTCTAAAAACACAATTGTTTCTCTTGCCCTTAGTTTTAAGCTTGCATATTGCTTTATTTTTATTAGTTAAATTCGTTTTAATTTAAGATCTTCAAATCAAATATCTCAAATTTCTCTTTTACAATAATTAATTAGAATTTGGTTTGATACGAGTTATTTAATAATCCCTGCGGAGAACGACCTTGCGAGAATCATTTATACTACAATAACCTTGTCATTCTTGCAAGTTTTGTAGGAGTTTTAACCCTGTTTGCGCAGGTACTAAAAAGCCTATCATCGTACATGCATCATACTTGTATCTTAGAAATATTAATGGTGTTGTTTTATAGCTATGAATCGAAAAGATCCTACATGGAAGTATGCAAAAGAAATAGAGAGGTAAAAATACTTAAGATGCGCATTTTGTGATCAAAGATGCAATGGAGGAATTTCTAGACTTAAACATGATTTGGGTCAAACTCATCAAGGTATGCAACAATGTAAGAAAGTTCATGAGCATGTTAAAAAAGAGTGTGCCACAACTTTGAAAAATTTTCAGCTTGAAAAAAGAAAGAAAAATGAAATGCTTAGAGAGATTGGGGATGGTCCAGGAGGAAGGACTCAGAGTATGGAATCTCCATTGGATGAAGAATATGGAATCCCCGATACTAGGAGTGCTCCAATTGATGAGGCTCGTAGAGCTCAACCTAAATCAAAAGGACCAATGGATTAGATTTGTCATTTTAAAAGCTCGACAAAGTACATTAAATTCAGCATACAAGAAGAAAGAAGGGAAGTTTGTCGAAAGATTGGCTGTTTTTTTTTTCTCTAGAGCACTCCCATATAATAATATTGTAAATGATCCATTTTGGCTACTTATGGTAGAAGAGCACTCCCATATAATATTGTAAATGATCCATTTTGGCTACTTATGGTAGAAGGGATTGCCACATATGGTGTAGGATTTAAGCCTCCATCAATGCATGAACTGAGGACTTGGATCCTTAAGGAAGAAGTTGGCGACATTAATACGATGATAGAAGAACATAAGAAAGAGATAATTCGCCCTGCAATCACACAGTTGGCCACTTCTTATCTTACTTTTCAAAGCATCTATATGAAAAAGCAACCTCTTCAGGCTATGTTTTCTTTTAGAGAATGGCACAATGGACCATTTGTCCAACATAATGCAGGTATTAGGGCTCACTCAACTATACTTTATGATGTTAATTTTTGGTCCAATGTTGCTTTTTGCATCAAAAGTGTTATTCCATTAGTATCTATTTTGAGAGAAGTTGATTTAGAGGAGAGACCCGACATTAGATTTATTTATGAGTTAATGGATGTTGCAAAAGAGAAGATTGCTCTTAATTGTGGAAGAGTTGAAAGAAAGTATAAACCAATTTGGAGAAGAATAGACGAAAGATGGGGCCCACAACTTCATCAACCTTTACATGCTACTGGTTATTATTTGAACCCTTAATTGCGTTATAAAGAAACCTTTTCTAATGTTGATGAAGTGAGGAAGGAATTGGAAGATTACATGACTAGGATGTTGTCTTTTGAAGATCGTATGGCTGCTGATATCCAGTTGGACTTGTATGATGAGGAAGAAGGAGAGTTTGGAGGTTGGCTTGTTGTGAATTCAAGGAAACTATGAACTCCAGGTTATAATCTTTACTTTTTTATTTTAATTTGAGTCTAATGAACACTTGAAAAAAATGTTAAACTTAATTAGATGGATTTGTTTTGTTTTGTTTTTAGCAAATTGGTGGAAGCGTTTTGGAAGGGACACACCTGAGTTGACGAAGTTTGCTATTCGGGTCCTTAGCCTCACTTGTAGTGCATCTGGGTGTGAGAGGAATTGAGCACATTTGAGTAGGTAAAGTTCAAAAGGCTTACACTTCACCGCTTCAAGGCTTACACCTCGCATAGCTTAACTAAAACGTCTCGCATCAATGCCTTACCTTTCAAAACATTTATAAATATATATATAGGCTTTTTATCACAAATGGTCCTTGACGTTTACGAAATTATCACGAATGGTCCTTGAGGTTTTTTTGTGACACTAATAGTCCTCAACGTTTGGACTTTTTATCACAAATGGTCCTTGCCGTCAAAAATTCTGTTAAGTGTATGATGTGGAAGATAAGTGGAGCCCACATGTACAATCACATCGTGACATGTGGATTAAATAAATAAATAAATATATTTTTTTTTATGAAAATCCATTAAAAAAACCATTTAGAGAGTAGAGAGAGAGAGAGAGAGAGAGAGGCTAAATGGTTTTTTAATGGATTTTCATTAAAAAAAAATATTTATTTATTTATTTAATCCACATGTCACGATGTGATTGTACATGTGGGCTCCACTTATCTTCCACATCATACACTTAACAGAATTTTTGACGGCAAGGACCATTTGTGATAAAAAGTCCAAACGTTGAGGACTATTAGTGTCACAAAAAAACCTCAAGGACCATTCGTGATAATTTCGTAAATGTCAATGACCATTTATGATAAAAAGCCTATATATATAATAGATGTATTGCACTTCCAGAAATGTCTTATGTAAGTGCAATACACCTTATGTAATGACGTTCCGAATCTCATTTCACTACTATATAATGTTTTAGGTGTTCAGACTTTAGTTCTACAAGATGAATTACTTTGCGCTGCTAGTAAAAGAATTCATTAGCTTTTGGTGGAAAGGGATTCAAAACTCTTGATTGATTGCTTATTAGGGGCTTGTTCCATTCCTTGGCGAGTGTGGATGATCATTCGAGACATCAAGTTCATTTGTTGACGTTATGATGTTGTGCAGTTTCGGTATATTTTCACAAAGGCTAACTTTGTTGCTAATGCTTTCGCCTATTTGGGTCATTTCATTTCTAATTGTCATAATTGGTATTGCATTCTCCCTACCCGTGCAATGCCTGTTTGTTTATTTTAATAAATGGAGTACAGGTTGTCGTAGGGATTATGTATTGTAATTTTTTTAAGTAGAAAAAAACACATTAACGGTTGGCTTAGCATATCACTAGATATGGACAGGAGTTATCTAAATACAAATTGGGATGTATTCAATCCATACTTTCATGGAATTTTAAAGACTTTGATGGAATTAAAAAGTCTAGAGGTATCCAATTCGTATTTTTAAAGACTTTAAGTATTCAATTATGAATTTTAAACTCTCTAAAAGTTTGGTGGTATCCAAAAAGTTAATGACTTTAAGATTAAAGTCTTAAAGTTTGAAATTTTGCATGGGTTTGAGTGGAGAATAATTAGTTGGGTTTAAATTTTGTTGATTATTCAAATGAAGTACCATTGGAGGAAAAAAAAAACACTAGTGGATCGTGGATCTTTCTTGAGCGATTTCTCATTCTGCACTGAGTACCATGGAGTTTTTTTGTGAAGAAATGAGGAGAAAGAACGGAAAACTGATCATGACAACTCTATGAAAATTTGTCATTTTAATTGCATAAAGTCTATGAAAATCATTAATAATTTGTGAGGTCTGTAAAAGTCACTCGCTTAAAAAAGTATACAAAATTATTTATACTTTTGTATCAATATTATGAAGATATCCCAATTCAACAACTTGTCATTTATTTAATTATATTTTATATATGAATTTTTTATTATCCTTTTGTATGAATTTGAGAGATAGAAAGCCCACATCTACTAATTGGGTTAATTTTAGAGGAAAAAGCCAACCAACTGGGTTCGATTTAGAAAAAAAAGCCCAATAATGATTTATAAGTATGAATTGAGAAAGAGGATACAATGAGGAGTTTAAAGTGAGGAGGTTATTTGAGAAGGTCAATTCCAGCATCAAAACATTTAAAATATTTAAGTCCCATGAGGAGGTTTTTGATTGTGAGATTGACCTCCTCAAATAGTCTCCTCACTTTAAACTCCTTATTATAGCCTCTTGAATAGGCTCGACTGGTTGGGCATATTCGTATTTTCCCTAACCACTTTTCTCATTGGTTGTTCAACTAAAATAACTAGTTGGGTGAAGAGTCAAGCAACAATTATTCACGAGGTGACACTGTTCCATGTATGATTAACGTACTTCGCCACTTCACAAAATGGATTCATCTCGGGTCCGTCCAGATTCTGAGGAAAACAATTGGTTATGAAACTGCCATGTCAGCATCACTACCTTCCACGCCAAAATTTCTTCCACCTCAGGATTTTCAAAGATTCCATTAAAAAAAATCCAATTTTTTTTTTTTTACTCTGACTTCCTTTTCCTCTGTTTCATATTAGCCCAAAGCAAAGCTGAGTTGCATTGCATTGCATGTTCAATGGCTCAAATTCAGTTACTGTCCCCTGGGTTCTCTGAAGCTCTCAAATTCCAAAACCCATTACCAAATGGGTGCTCAAGAAGCCCATGGCGCACGTTAGTTAAGACCAGCAGCAGTCTATCTTTGATGGGTCATGGCGGGAGGAGGCGAAGAGGCTTTGGCAGGGTCAGAGTGGCAACCGAGGGCTCACCTTCAACTGACGCAGTGGCTGATGACTATTACTCGGTCTTGGGATTGGTATTTCTCTTAATTTGATCTGGGTTTTGTTTAAACATGCAAAATATTATACTTGGCCAGGCTTATATTATATGTCTGTTTAATTTGATTTTGAAGTTTATGATATTTTTACACTTCACATTATTTTGATTTTTCTGGGAAAATTTTATTTCTTTTATGATTATAATGGTTGTGTTGAATTTTTAAAAATTTGGGTTTTGTGCAATGCTTTGCTTTTGTATTTATCATGTCTGATCATTGATTGGTATGTGTTACTAGCTTCCAGATGCCACACCTGCACAAATAAAAAAGGCCTATTATAATTGTATGAAAGCTTGCCATCCGGATTTGAGTGGTGATGATCCAGAGACCACAAATTTCTGCATGTTCATTAATGAGGTCTACGAGGTGGGTTTCCGTTTGAACTTGAATGCTTCGAACTCTGATCAATTATGTTGTTTTGTTTGGATATTTTGTGTGCTTTCAAAGCATTGCAGTGCAGGTGCTCAGTGACCCCGTGCAACGAATGGTTTACGACGAAATTCATGGTTATGCATTGACGGCAGTCAATCCCTTCCTGGATGACTCAACAACAAGGGATCATGCATTTGTTGATGAGTTCAGCTGCATAGGTAAGTTCAGATGCTGAGATATCATCCCATTCCCATGCATAGAGATAATTGGATCTTTCTTTTCTTGAACATTAATTATATCTGGTAAATGAATGCTTGAACATTATTGCCTACTGTGAAATGGGGCTAGATGTACGACTCCTTGCAATCTTTGAGTACTGATATTGGTAAGAACTTTATAACGTATGTTTCTTTGCAGGCTGCAAAAATTGTGCCAATGTGGCCCCGGATGTCTTTGGAATCGAAGAAGACTTCGGAAGAGCCAGAGTATACAGTCAGTGTGGGAACCCAGACCTAGTTCAACAAGCAATTGATAGTTGGTAAGTCCTCCTTCGTAGGTCCTGCTAATATGATGAACATTTGTGATAAAAACCAGCAAGTTCTACTTCCATTCTTGTCTATTATATTGTGTCTTCAACTTTAATATGCTGTTAATAATTTAAAGAGATATGTGATGTGGTATAAAGAGAATAAACCTTAAACCACATTGCAATATTACAAATCAGGCATCTTTATATTTTAATGGTTCACTTGTTGAAAGGTAGAAACAGGATGAACTTCCAAGATGATTGATAATTAGCTTCAATTCACTTAAGAGAGTTACTTTTCTCTAACTCTTGTGAACAACCAATTGATGTTGCACCTTTTGTTATGTTCAGTTCCAATGCTGAAAAGTGTTCTCGCAAGTCTTCATAAGCCAATTAGAGTGTCTCTATTTTCTGACAATCAATCAAATCATTATTCTATAATACTTCAAATCTTTCTGTGGCATCAACTCCTTGCCTTTTATGCATGCTTGTACTTCTCTTGTCAACTTGAAGTTTAGAAGTTTCATCTAGTTGGGTAGTTATGAATTGGACTGTGAGATGCCTGGATATTACTAGATTAACAACTTTTAAGTTTAACTGTTAGTTATATATATTAAGATTGCAGATATAGAATTGAAACAAACACATGAACTTAACAAATTTGGTGACCTAAGCAACAACTAAGTATATTGCTCCCAAAATACTAATATGAGAAGTAAAAGATACAAGGCTTTACATCTCAATAACATGCCAGGATTGATGAATGTTTTTAAAAAAAAGTCAAATTTGAGTGGGAAGGGAGATGTAGGGAAAAAGGGAAGGGGACTGTAAAGTGTGTCAGTTGTAGAACCAAAGATGCATCCCTTGATATTCTGATATTCTAACATTTCACAAACCCATGGTTTTATTGCAGGAACAAGCTAAAATGAGGATGATGAATCAGAAGGATTCAGATCAAACGGAATCATACTGGGACAACATTTGGGGCAACACCAAGGACTACCAAAATTCAGGTATAAAAAACCTAGCTACCGACGCCCCAATTTTTTATATAAAAAAAACATAATAGAACGTACCTGATGTGAGTCTCATCCATCCTTAATTCATGTCTGACCATTTTACCCTTAATTCATTCATTTCTCACCATTATATTCCTTCTTGAGGGGATTTGAGTTTCTCTCAAAAAGTTCCTCTCTTTCCTTGTTAGCCTCTGCAGTGAATGCTAGTTGAAAACTTTTCCCGAAAAAAGGGAAAATAAAACTACTTCCAAAGCTTCTTAGGGCTCGAATTAGATCTGAACCAGCCTTGATTTCTTTCATTGATTGCTACACTTCTTGAATTTGTAATTGTCTAGGGTTGTGTCTTTTCCTGTCCTTGGTCCAATGAACTAGAATCATCCCCTTTGGATTGCCAGCTGATAACAAAAAGATTACTCTTTTGTTTTTTTTTTGTTTTGCTGCTGTGCTCATATTCCTGCCTGGCTACGTCAGTATCACCGCGTCCAATTAGATGTTTCTTTTTAAAGGGGCAATGCCTCAAACTTAGAAAGGCTTTCAATGTTCATCTCCCGATTCTCTCCATCCCGACATGCTATCTTCCACGAGCATATGTTCTTATCCCCCTTATTTTTTTACGTGCCTACTCGATTGGCATCCTCTGAATCTTCTTCACTAGTGGTTCCCCCCGCCTCAGCTCATAAGAGGCTTTCAGCATAAAATTATGATAATTTGAACTCACTTTGAACTATCTCATCAAAATATCTATAGTAGATGCATGGTTACAATGATCAGGAGCACTTTATAGTTAAAGCCCCTGCACAACATGTCTGCTCCTTCAATAACATTAGTGTAAAACATGTTCGATGCTTCAACTTGTAACATATTTCTCATGGTTTCAGATGTTTTTATAAAAATCAAAGTTTTTAAAATGTGCTTATTTGCAGAGGAGGAAGTGAAAGAAAGAGCAAAGAGAACTGCGGCAGCGGCTCGTAGATGGAGAGAGTACTCAAGGAGGGGTGCTGATAAGCCTCCTAGCTATAAACTTCCGGAGGCAATCTCCAACACGGATAAGTGACCATTAATCTTTTAACACCATCAATATTTTTACCATAAAATATATTAATTTTAAAGCCTATACGTCATGTATGTACAATCATGTAAAATTTGAAGTTACCTTAGATCTGTATAATCAGTATATATATAGATGCTATCATTTACAATAAATTGATCTATAAGTTAAAAAGAAAAAGAAGAGAGAGAGAGAGAGAGAGAGAGAAGCATGCAAAGAGTGGTTTTGTTGCATCAAGCTCCATACTTGAGGTTGAGTTCACAGGTTTTCTTTCTTTTTCCTAAGTACTATACTACAACCAAAGTCGAAACTTATTAGTTATATCCTATTCATCAATATGCCATAAGAGTTATATAAAGAGAAACAAGAAAAGTAAAAGGCTTTAATTTTTTTTTTTTTTTGGTGAAAACCAAGGTATCCCCCACGCGATTGCGGGGACTAACCCTCGAGGTACTGTCGGGCGTAAAGCGGGGACCTCTCCCAACAAAGTCTGCTCTATTCACAATAGAGGTCACACGGGGGTTATGTTTTCACCGGAACAATGCTTACAAGATGATAACGTGGTATAATTAATTTAAGTGTTACAATATGGGTCGGTAACGAGTTTATTTATATGTTATAACATGAACGGATTAGTTTTACTTGTGGCAGTATTTCAATACCACACCTTACAAGTTGAGATAAGTAAATCAATCATAATTTGACATCTATCTACTTACCAAGAAAAATAACTTCTTAAAATTGTGATTTTCCATCTCAACTTACAAAGCAATTGTATGTAATTTAATTGTAAGTAGATTAGCAATCATTACAGTTGTGTCACATGTCAAAATGGTTATGCCATGTGGGTGCGCGATATCTTATAATTCCATGGATGTGCAAGAATGGTAGTTTATTCTGAGGATCAATACATTATACATAGTTTAGAAGTCAACCGTTAGACTGTTGGATCTTAAAAGGTTAGACAGTCTAAACTCATACTACAAAACTAAACTCTCATCTGCAAGTCGAGATACTTTTCCACTGGGCTAAAACCCGTGGCTACTATAAAACTAAACTTAAACCAAACCTTTGTTTTCCTTATGTTTTCTGTTGTTTTAAATAGCTAATTAAAGTAGATATTTAAAAAGTTAAGTTTGAAAGTTACTACAAGAATCAAGATCAACATATATTGTGTAGATATTAGAAGGAAAAACTATTGTGCACAAGGGTAATACTTCTTGAATGCCACATAGTGTTATATAAGTCAAAAATTATAACTCGTGCACTGAGTTTATATAAGAGCTTAGATATTAATAAATGTACACGTATCATGATTTAAGTGAACTCGTAATATCATATCGGTATATCACATACTATTACGTACCATCGACGAGGTTTCGACTTTCCATCAAAGTGAGGGTATCTATGAGAGAAGTTTATCAGAGATTAACAATCCTGAAATTGATTCTTCCAGATTACATAATTAAGAATTAATCAGAAGTATCAATAATTACTTACTTCTCTGTAGGCTCTAGGACAAGTACTGTATATTACTGTTTACCTTTAAATTATTGATATACACATCACATGCATCTGTTTGTTTGGTGAGAAATTTAATCTGTCAAGGCTGAAAGTTGACTAAAAGGACAATATATATTTTGTATTACATTAGACTGACGTAGAATAATAATAAGATACTTGTTGTCTGTGTTACATCAGATCTTTAATAAAAGACGTACACATAAAATAGTTTAATAAGTGATGCTCTGGTCCACCATCTCATAAAATAAGAGTTTATGCAAACCCCGCTATATACGGATTGGGATCAAAATTTAAGAACGTGCATAATTTTAGATTAATCCGACTGAACCACTCAACCCGATAATAAAAGTATTAAGTTGAATTGGATTGACTTAATAATAAGCGAATCTTAGACCCAAAAGATTATATACTTATGAGTTGAGTGACGAATTGAGACCAAAACCGACCCGACCCAACTTATACCCACCCCCTACTTTGCTTCTTTCTTTCATTTTCTTTAACATATGATAGCCGCACAACTAGCCCAAAAAATAAATCTACACGTGCACAAATCACATGTGACTTGATGCAAGAAAAAACTTCCAGTTGGCTAACTTGTGTTCTTCTTTTAAATTTTACAGGTGCATAGATCTATATAAACTGCAGTTGTATTTCGTCAAAACGTGCTTTAGAATTCAGAAAGGAGAAATAGCAGTGAGTACCACGTGACAAGATATACTTTTCTTTTTAAGTGAAAAAAAACCCAAAAAGTTTGAATGATCTCATGATCTCCCACAATTACTTTAAATTTAAAGTAATGGTGCCACTTTCCTGAAGCGACAATTATATCATTCTCCACATCATGTAAGCTAATGGACCAAATTTGAATTAAAAAATAGGACATTTATTGATCCCTTTTTATAAATAGACCCATTTTAACATGATATTAAAGAGCTTATTTAGAAAGAAAAAAAAACCCTCAATTAGTCATTTGTTATTTTGTAATTAGTTCTTAGTGTGTTACAATTTTTTCGCTTCAACGTAAACATGGAGTTTTTATTTTTTATTTTTTATAGAAGTATTGGACTTTTAAGGATTTTTAAAAAAATAAAATGTCATGTTAAAATAGGTCTATTTGTTAAAAACTTTTTTTTTATCGGTCCATGAGCATTAATCCAAATGAATTAGTGGTAGGTAGAATATCCTCACCAAATATAGCACAGCTATGATACATTATCTCTTTATTTCATTTTCAACAAAATTTCCAACAAAACCCACAAACTTGAACAAAGAGAAATTTAGAAAGAAAAAATTAGCACAAAGAAGGGGCATCCTGCCCACTTATAATTACATATGTAAACCAAAAAAAAAGGAAAACAAAATTTACATTTACAAATTTTGTAATGCTAACGGCAAAATATATCCGATAATAAGTAATTTTTCGGTGTGACAGTAACAAAATACAACCTAGCTAATGAACAAGATTTATTCCAAGGAATCTAAGTAGAAAAAGGCACAAGAAAAGAGTAGTGTTGTTATCTCACAGTTGATGCAACAGTATGAGCCCAAAACCTGAGATTATGCTTCATGTCCTTACCTAAATTAGCTGGTATTCTCCAATTCACCAATTTGTTCTCTTTCTTTCTTTGATCCAAAGCATCCCAAGCCTCAGAGAGATAGGGCCTTGAAACCACATGATGACTACTTGGATCAGTATTATTATTATTATTATTATTTCTCTGATCCTCTTCATCTCTATCTTGTTCCCCAATACTTCCAAGCCTTTGCAAACCAGGAATTATGGAAACCAATTTTGAATCCTTGTCTTCCTCAGTGAACACAAAACCCAAATCCATAAAACCCTTGAGCTCATCAAACTCCAGGTCAGACAAGCTCTTGCTGGGCCCTATTCTTCTTCTTCTTCTTCTGTTTCTTTCACCATGACCATGTACCCTTCTTGTCTGAGCTGCTGGCACTTGTTCTTGTTTCACACTTCGTTTGGAGAACTCTATGACTTGTTTACCAGAGAAAATTGTATGGAGTTTTGGTGTGGTGGTGCTCATGAGGATTGAGTGTGGGGAGAGAGAATCAGAAGAGAAGAGGCTCCCTTTGGTGTTTGAAAATTGGTCATCACTCAGAGACCTTGGCAAGCATGAAAGGCTGGGGAAATCTGGTACTTGTTGTTGGGTTGCTTCTTGGGCTGATTGGTCAACTTGGAGACTTGGGTTTGTGGCTTCTTGGGGTTGTGAAGGGGATTTCTTGCTCAAAATTCCATGTTCAAACCAGTATGAATCAAAGAGGCTGAGAAGCACCTCTTCTTCTTCTTCTTCTTCTTCTGCAGCCATTTTGAGAGCTAGAAGGTTCAAGATGTTTTGCTAATTGTAGGTGTTTTGCCAATTGTAGATAAGTACGGGGTTGACGTACATATATTGGCAACCTTGTTGCCCCTCATTACTGGCTCATATTGAATATTTATTGGCAACGTGTAATATATTATCTACAAGTTGCTCCTTTCTTTTTAATTAAATTAAAATTTTATATACATCTAGTGGGTCACTCCTACCAGAAATCCGGATATATATATTCGATTGCAATTCCTAGAGCTGGGGATTTCGTGCGGTTTTTGCTTTAATTTGAAAAAAAAAATTGGTTTGGAAGTCTAATTAGACCGGCTGCAGTGGTCCGGTTCATGGTTTCTAAAATCAAAACTGGTGGTTTACCCAATCGAACTAGTATATTCTAAAAAATTTAATTTTAAATTTTTATAAATCGTTACACGTGGCATAACACATTGGTTGGACACAACATTTACCCTACTACTCTTCACATCATATCAAACCTCACCTAAAACGCTAACATCTCCTTTATTTCTTTCCACTACTCACCAATCTCCACCCAATTTCTCCATGCACAGCAATGCCACCACCTCCACCTCTCTTTCTTGTCGAATTCGGAAGATCG